ATTATGGAGCCACTGCGCGCATAAACGCCAGCTCAACTCCTATGAACAAACAAGCAATGCGACAACACCACGAAAATCAGCTTGACTGAATTTTGCGTTTATCAGAAATGTCGATGAATTGTAATTTCTGCTTTTATGCTATAAATTAACCATGATATTCTGAAGTCATCTGGACGCTTGGATAGGGAGGTAATCAGCGACAAACTGCCACAACATTGTGGCAACATGAACGCCACTTCCCCTGGTTTCGAACTTCGCTATCGCGGCCTTATCAGCTCCTAATATAATCTTCCAGGCAGTGTAATAAGCCCGCGACGGTACCAGTAGACGATCAGTGAAGATCAATTCCCGTTAGTAAGCTAAGCTGTGTGATCGGCCAATCATAAATTCTCTTTTGTGCCTAAGACGACGACATCCTTCATACTTTCTAACCACCGTGTCGTGGATGTGGCCGCGACGCAAAATTCCCGATATCTTTTCGTGGCTCTCTCGGTGACAGAGAGCTAGCGCTCTTCGGTCTCAATGAATGATTACGCTTCACAGGTATAATACTGCCAAGAGGACTGTACAAACTGAAGAGCTGTACTAAGTATCTTACTTGATGTTGCAGAAGAGGACGCCCTCGACTGAACCGAACGCACGCCAATCGGATCTCTTACTTCACAAGCTTAATCCTGCCACATGCTGATCTACTAGTCCAGGACTAATCAATTTCTTCGGTCTATTCGCCATTTAATATTATTATCAGGTGCATTCAACTGCAGTGTCTTGGTCTTTGACCGACTGATTCGCCGCCTGACTACTCTATTTTTCTCTTCAGCTCTTCCAGAATGTCCTGTGGGTGACTGGCGTTTTCTACAAACAACACTAATTCACCAGCGAATTAAAGATGACTGAGATGTATGTCACCGGATTAACGGAGGCAGTGGAGCAGGTGGAGAAGTTCAAGTACCTCGGAAATGAATTTACCACTGATGGAAAATTGGAGGAAGAGATTGACCGGCGAATTCGAATAGCCAGTGGCGTTCTGCGTGAACTAGCCCGACCTACTGTGACTAAAGCAGAGCTTAGTCTGAAAACTAAACTCTCG